CCGAGATGGCTGAGAAGCAGGTGTCCCTGGACACGGCCCTGGGGATGAGAATACGAAAGGCTCCAAGCATTGATAGCAACAAGAAGCGGTCCTGGGAGATGTCTCTAGAAGTCAGGTGGAATTGGAGAGTCCAGGAAATACTAGACAACACATGTAGCTGAAATGACACGTCTCTAAAAGTCCTCTAAAAATAAAGCTAGGGCTCTGGTGGGGAGGAAGATTGATGAATACCTTGCAAAGGAAACACTTTAGTCCAGGGAGTGACGCACTATCAAAATCCATTCCAGCAATCAGGCTTCAAAAATTAGTCAGCTGGTAGATAACAAAAAAATTAAATTGTAAGTATAGTAAAATCCTCTGTTGGTCAAATTTATGAGCCTAACAGCATATTCTGTGATTAAGAGGTGAACTTATTGACTACTTAAACAGTAGTGTTGAGGTATTGCAAATTAAAATTGAGGGTAAATTCTGGAACTTTAGAAATAATTTCTTCTGATTACTTACAATTGAAATCAACATACTTTCCTGTCCTTGTGCTAAACAATGCTGGAACTGAGCATGCTTTCCTGTCCCCGGGTTAAATAATATTGAAAACACGTACAACATAGCATTCGCTTCCTGGGAAATACTTGTTTATGGAAGATTCTAAGCCAAATAAAATATCTTGTTATCCAGATTAACAGCTTGTTCAAGGCCCTTGCCTTGTTGTGAACATCAATACAAGCTGTTGTGCCATAAACTCTACTCAGCCCTAACTAGCTCTCCAGATTTCAAGGGTTGAAAATTCTTAGGGGCTAATAATCATCTTCAGAAACGCTAATACTGCCAAGGTTGTGTTTCTCTTCACACAATAGGTCTAAAAAATCAAGCTTTGTTTCATCAATGGTTTTTTTCTGGTGGTCTCCTGGCCAGTGGCAGGAGAACTTTAACCTTTCCCCAGCAGATGGTTATTCTAAAAGAAGCAGGAATAGAGCAAGTGGTGATGAGGATATGGAGCTGTTAAAACCCTCATGGATTGCAGGTAGAATTATAAAGTAGTTCAACAGCTGGGCAGTATATCAAAAAGTTAAACATAAATTTATCATGTTGCCCAGCAATTCATATATAGACATAGATATATAGATGTGTGTGTGTGTAAAATGACCATTTGGCATGCAAGTATCTGATTGAGTGCCTCTACTCAATTTAAAGTCAATCTACAAGGATATAGTTTGAAAGAAGTACAGCCGTGTTCATTACAGCTCTGGGAGCTCAAAATTTAAGGCATTTGTTTTGTGTCAGAGCAGAGGCCTTGAAATTAGCATGAATTCTATTTTAAATTCTAAGATACTTCTTTGGCAGTTGCTAACCTTCAAGTGTGCTAAATCACATAACTAAGGCAATGGTTTTTCAATGGTGAGGATGTCGAGAGAATGCACCTTTAAATTGGCATTCTTTGACATAAGACCCTTGTTGAAAGTCTCCGGCATAAGCAGACCAAGGGAAATATTTTCCTTCCGGGGCAATTTTAACACAATGGTTTTGGGAAAAAACATCTTTTGGCTTTCTCGTGATTAAAGACCACAGATCCCTGCGATTATCCTCAACATCCAGTGCTGTCACCCACATGCCTTCTGTCGACCAGTCCTAGGAGAAGTCTCATTTCGAGATATCTTGCCTTTAACTTTTCTAATCAGTTGCCATCCAATGAGAATGGTCTAACCTACATTCTTTGTTGTGATCCCACAAAAATGTCTCAGTGATTATATTACCTCAAACTAGTCAGTTTCGCTTTGGTGAGCCACCTAGACCCTCAGTGTAAACTTAAATTAATCCTTAAGAAGTCTCTTTACTTTGTATCCCGGGCAGAATATGAATTTCTTTTGTCCATGAGCAAGTATTATTCACCATAGTCGAAAGGTAGTAACAACCTCAATGACCATGGGCTCACGAACAGGTAAACGTAGTATGACACGCACCAAAACTTTTGGCCACAGCGTTGATTCCAACTCTGAGCAACCCGATCTAGGGTTTAGGAGACTAAATCTTAAGGGATCAGACAGCCTCATCTTCCTCCCTATGTGTGGCTGGTGGCTTTGAACGGCTTCTGCTATGGAGAGAAGCAAAGTCATGACACATGCTACATACAGGAACAAACCTTTAATGTGTCATATTACGTGAAGTAGTAAGGTTCAAAAGGACAGACATTGTAAAAGCTCACCTTGGGGAAACATCTAGAAGAGGTAAACATATAGAAAAAAGTAGGTTAGGGGCCAGCAGCAGCAACCGAGGATGGGAGGAATGGGGAATTTCTGTCGAAGGGTGATGAGTTTCTGTTTGAAACGTTTGAGAAATACGCGGTGGGGTGGTTGCACAACATGAGGAGTGCGAGTCATGTCAGTGAACTGCACACTAAAAAATGCTTTAAATGACTGATTTTATGCTGTCTGTACTGTGTTGTATGCAAATAAGACACATTCTATATTTGTTTGCAAACTGCTTTCTCCTTCATGAGGTGTTTTGCGAGATATGACAGTTGTTTGTTTTTTAACAAGTTGCTATCAGGTCACTATGAGTCAGATTTGACTGTGGCCGTGTGGTAGTTATATAATTGTCAATTTGAGAGGATTATGAGTGAAGGGGTGGAATCTACTGTGTCAATTGGATCATAGCCAATGAGGCTTCTGTGTGGGCGTGGCCTTCTCCTGAGAATTCTGGGAAATCTGGTATTTCCTCCTTGGTGGTGGGAGACTCTGCGCACACCCTGGGAGGCATAGCAGCTGACAAGACACAGGGACCCACCCTGATGCAGAGACCCCTGCCATCCCTGAGATGTTTCCAATGCCACTGGATCCAAGGACTTGCTACCCACTGACCTGTGATCTTCTACATTCAACATCATCGCATATGTTTCAAGAGTCTGAAGAGGACTTTATAGATTGATATTGGACATATGGGCTAATAACCGACTTATGCACTCGATCTGGACTGGGCTGGGATGTTTTCTTAGTGTTCAATTGCTCTTGTATATAAATCTCTTTCTTATACATGAGTGTCTCTATGAATTTGTTTCTCTAGTCTACCCAGACTAACACAGGCAGTGAGTTTGAAGTTTTTATCAATAAAATTAGCACAACGCATTTATAAAATGCCTGGGGTGGGGAGGAGGAGAGAAAGTTGTTGGCCAACAAACATCGAAGGCACACGTTATATGGCATTTTAATACAGCCAATAAAACTAAAAAAGAGTTTTTATTATACATGACACATTGTATTTGTAAAGAAGAAATTCACTGTCATATCAAAGTGCCTTTACAATGTGAAGAGCGGGTTCAATGTCAAGGCTTCTCTAGGTCCTTCTAAGAATCTTGAGTGCAGTAATCCTTGGATTCTTTTCTCAAGACTTCAAAAATCTCACTGAAACCATATTTTTCATATCCTTTGTATGTCCCCCTTTCCTTTCTTCTTCTCCCACTTGGAAGACAAGAAATGGTGACCCAGAGGGTGGTGGAGTTAGAAGTGATTTTCATTCAAGAATGATTGCAGTATTTATGACGATTAGCTTACATTTATTTTAAAATAAGCATGCGTTATGTGTGCGCAGGAAATGTGTGTGTGAGAGGACTCAATAGACAACCTTGAAGTAAATATGTATGTAGGTGATTATAATTTGAGAGACACGAAGGAAGCAAACAGGGAGCTGTGGAATGCGACACTCTAGAAAAGGAGAGAGAAAAGGGGAGGGGGAGAGGAAGAGTGAAAGGAGGGAGAAGGAGAGATTTAAGAAACCCCAACACTTAGAATGTAGTAGAGATAAGTGAGAACAAAAACACAAGAGAGACACAGTATTAGGTGTTTCAAGAATGGGCACACTGGTCAACTGGATGTGCTGCGGAGAAAACAAACTAGATGAGAACGCGGAGCTAATGTGTAGATTCATTAGAATGGAGCTCGCTGGTGGCCTTCATCACACCTATTGGGAAATTCTACTGGATTAGTCAGGGGTGACTTAATAGAGTATGACTTCATGGTATAAGGCCCTTTTGATAGAAACTGGTTATATAAAGGGGTGCGAGTTGAATTTAGAGAGAACTGTTAGGTTAGGAAGTTCAGACAGCTTGGGTGGACTGTCCTCAGATGTACACGTAGGCAGAACAGAGAAATGAGGCAGTAGGAGGATGAGGGACCAAGGTGAGTACAGAATCAGATGGCAATGAATGCAGGTGAGTTTGTGGGTTTGGAGAGAAGAAGATAAGGGAGGTCTTTAATGGCTGTTATTTTCTCTGTAGAGTAAGATGAGAGTCATTACACAAACACCGAGAAGGTATACTGGTGGTTGAAGAGAGTGATGTGTGCTGTTAGTCATCCAGGAGAGTAGAAAAGCCAGCCTGCTGTGAATCACATAGAATTTCCCAACTGCTGGAGTGCTTATACAGTTTTGAATTTATATTTTTAAAGTGAAACTACCTTGCTTTATCAATTCTAAGATGTACATATTCTAAGATGTACATCCATAAGTAACGCCTGAATTTGGGGTCCATCTATATACCTTGGTGGCATTGTTTCCTAATTGGTAGCCTTGCTGCCTTGTTGTTTTCATGTACTATTGAGTCAGTTTCAATGCATAGCAACCTCACACTCAACAGAACAAAACTGCCCTGTCCTGCACCATCCTCACAATGGTTAAGTTTGTCAGTCCATCTCATTGTCACATTGTCACATTGTCAATCCATCTCATTGAGGATCTTCTGTTTCACTGACTCACTACTTTCTCAAACATGATGCCCTTTTCCAGGGACTGTTCATTCCTGATACCACGTCCAAAGTACACGAGACAGGCTCGCCATTTTGCGTCTAATGAGCACTCCTTAGAAACCTCTTGTTGCTGTTGATTATAGGTGCCGTCGAGTAGACTCCATCTAGTAGTGGTCCCACGTACAACAGAACAGAACACTGCCCGGTCCGGGGTCATCCTCACAACTGTTCTTGTGTGTGAGCCCTAGAAGCATTGTCAAGTAAAGACATCTATCAGGCACTAGCTGTCAATCACAAAGAGGTAGTTTCATCCACTGGGGAATAGTACCTATAACTGTATTTTGACTACCTCCTTGGTTGATTGTTCTGTTTGATTG